TTTCCTAGATAGGACATGTTGGGGGTGGCTGGGATAGCAGACCAGAGAGCAGCCCTTTCTGAACTCTAAATTCTGAGGTCCTTAGAATGTTCTTTTGTAATGAGCCACATCCCCTTGGGGTAGGGCAGTGCACTTCTCTCAGCATAACTGCATTAAGGAGACATGATGGTTTACTAAGTACCCATGCCATACAATTCCATCTAAAACAAGGCTTAGCTTAGAGCCGTGTGATTTGCTTCTAAGATCTGCCCACAGTGCTCTATTATACTTATATTTGAGTTCTCATTATCTACTTGCAGATTTATTTGGGCAAATGTTGTGTGCAATTATGCTTTTTTAGAAAACTGTCTCTTTTCTGTACTAGGATGAAGTTTTTTTTTTTTTTTTTTTTTTTTTTGTTTTGGGTTTTTTTTTTTTTCCATCATACCAAAGCACTAACACTCCTGCAGGAGAAGAATGGGCCTAACTACCAAGCATCAAGTTTCAATTCCTTAACTCACACATTTGGTCAGGGAAATAATTATTAGGATCCGAGTTTTGGGAAGGTGTGGGATTTTTTATGTCAGCATAGAGAAACCCATAGTAAGATACTGAGATTAAAAACTTCTAGAGTCCAAATGCTCAAAATTCCTCTCCTTTATCATTCAAGTTTCTGGTATGTATAGGCAAACGAAAAGTGTTGCCATAATTTTGGCCACTCATCTTTGATCTATATGACACTCACAAAATAGAATAGTACTCATCTGTTAAGAAAAACAAAATTATGGGCTTTAGAAACACCTAAACCTACACCACATATATGTACTTGAAGACACATAGACATGCACACAAACACATATATATGCACACAGAGAGAAGCATGATGATGTTCTAAAGCTTACCCAGACTTCTCTAAAATGTACTTCTTACTAGGTTCTTTTTTAAATTTTCTATTTTAATTTAAGGAGTAATTTAAACACTGTCAGTCAACACTGAACTCTATTACTTCAAAGTATAGCTGACATCATTAAAAATTCAGTCTTTCAGATTTAAACACCACCTCCTTCCTCTTGCCTCCTACCTCCTCTCTTTCCTGTAGTGGCCTCTGGGAGCAAGAAGAATATGATATGTGGGACCTCAGGGTGAGGGAGGTTGGTTCATAGTTCATGAATTTCCAGTAGTTTGGCTATTTGTCTCTGTGCTTTTTTTCAATCATGGTCTCAATATCTCTCGTTTATACAATCCCTCCTCTCTCTCACCGTTTGAGTTCCCAGAGCTCCACCTGGGGCTCGGCCGTGGATCTCTGCATCTGCTTCTATCAGATACTGGATGAGAGTTCTATCATGACAGCCAGGGTGTTCAGCCATCCGATCACCAGAGCAGGTCAGCTCAGGCACTCTCTCGACCATTGCCAGTAGTCTACAGTGGAGGTATCTTTGTGGATTTCTGGGGACCTCTCTAGCACTCTGCTTCTTCCTATTCCTCTGGGGTCTTCATTCATCATGGTATCTCCCTCTCCATTCTCCCATTCTGCTCCTGATCCAGCTGGCATAAAAATCGACATGTGGATCAGGAGACCCACATTCTTATTCTCTTGTCCTTGTCTTAGTAAACCTGGATTCTCTTGATTCCTGGCTTAGTGTCCACTGGATATTAATTGGTCCATTGGGGGCTGGGCTGTTCAGGGGAATACATCTTCAGAATATCAAGTCTCAAGCCTCTTGTTCCAAGTGTTAAAAGCTTTTCTTTTGGATGAGAACCATATTCCTGGGCAAGTTTATTCTCACACCAAGATTTGAAGAAACGTCTGGATGCCTGAACATAGCTTACAAACTGTAGAAGTCAGCATTCCTTTCCCAAGCCTACTTCTATCCACACCATGGGTTCTCTTTCCAAGGAAGAGCCAGAGCTAATACCAAACTGATTTTCAGGGGTATATCTACACTAATTGTTAAAATGTTGTAATAATTTCATGCTAGTTTACTATAGCTACTGCTTCAAGCTCTTAGATTATCCTTGGTGGCCCCAACCACTCCTAAGGACTTACCTAACCCCATTGAAAATGGTGGTCACCCATCCAGACTCTAGATCCTTGAGATTGTGTGTGTGTGTGTGTGTGTGTGTGTGTGTGTGTGTGTGTGTGTGTGTGTATTCTGAAACAAAGATAGAGATTTTTTCCCCATAGTTTGTGCAGACATATATGCTACAAACAGTCCTGATACCTACTCTCATTTACAAGGGAGTTTGGAAATGACTTGTTAGAAAGGAGAATGAGGCACAGCACAATATCACTGTTTTCTCTCCCCTTCTGCAAAGAACCCCAGATTAAAAGTGGTAGACTGGATGGAGTCAGCAATTGGCTGACTGGGATAAGCCTTAGAGTTGTTGGAGGACTGAGTAGTGTAGTAGGACAGGCCCATAGGGTCAAGGACATTGGCTTAAACCATTTGCCAAGGCATGCATGTAACATATTTCTTTATGAGCCAACCTTGAGTCTGCCTGAGGGCCTAGCAACAGGTGCTGACAAATAAACACCATGAAAAAAAGCAACTTAGAGGAAGAAAGAATTTATTTGGCTTATACTTGCAGATCAAGACTAATCACTGGGAAAAAACCAGGGCAGAAACTCAAAGCAAGTATGTGGGGGCACTAATCATGAAGGAGGACTGCTTGCTGCTCACTTTCACACTTGCTATCTCACAGGATCATGTTTACCTAGCTTTCATTCCTCTCTACCACAGTCCTCTTAGAGAATGACAGTACAGATTGTGGACCAGCCATCACTACTACAGCACGCTCTTCATACTCTATGAGACATTCTGTGGTAGGAGTCTTGATGTCATTCTTTTAAAAAAGTTAAGTTATACTTATTTATTTGGTATGAGAGTAGGCACATATCACAACATGGTGTAGCAATCATAGGATAGCTTACTGGAATGAATTATCTCCTTCCATCATCTGGGTCCTGGGGAGCAAACTCAAATTGTCAGGACTGGTGACAAGTGTATTTACCCACTGAGCCATCTTCCCAGTCCTTGAGTTCATTTTTTACATCCTTGCATTTCTTCTATAGCCCAGGACCACCTGCTGAGGAATGGTGCCACCACAGTGGGCTGGGTCCTGCCATATCAGTGAATAGTCAAGATAATTCCCCATAGATGTGCCACGGGCCAATCTGATCTAGACAACTCCTCATTGAGGCCACCCTCTCAGATGATTGTAGGCTGTGTCACGTTGACAATTAAAGATAACTACAATATGAAACATATGACTGTGTACCCATAGTTACAAATAAGATTAAATTCTGAGGTCTTACACCACACACACACACACACACACACACACACACACACACACACACACCTAACTAACTAATGAATGAATGAAAATTGTAAATAGATTTTTAAAGCTTTATGGGGTGAGGAGATTGCTTAATAAGTAATATGCCTGTGCAAGCATGAGGACCTGAGTTCAGATCCCCAGACCCAAGACAAAAGCTGGGCTTGGCTGTGCATGACTGTAGTCCTCGCACTGGGTGGCAGAGGTGAGAGGATCCTGGAGTTTCTAGCCCAATTAGGGAGCTCCAAATTCAATAAGAGCCCCTGTCTCAAAAGATGGTAGAGTATGACAGAGAGAGATACCATCCATTGACCTCTGGTCTCCATGAGTATACACACAAGGTACACACACACACACACACACACACACACACACACACACACACACACATACACACACACACCACATTTTTAATTATCAAAATTCCTGTAGAGTTATGTCATAATAACTGAAGATGCAAGGGGAGGGGCTTCTGTTGTCCTAGACAAGTACTGTGCCGCTTAGCTAAACTCCTAGTTAAAAGTACAAGGTTGGATAGAGAAGGAAAAAAACAGTATCTAGCAAGAGTATATGGAAAGGAGTGGTACCTGCAACTAGGAATCTGAGGATACCAAATACTTAAAGCGAGTGCAGCAGAAGGAGATCCTGGAGAAAGGTTGAGAGAAGCTCAGAAGAATGTATGAAGAACAGCAAGAGATAATTCGTACCTGAAGGACAGAGTATACTTTAATCAACAATTTTAATATCTCATGGTCATTCTCAACCATCTCAAAGCAGTGCTGAAACTATCCACTTACTTGGATTCTGTTGTCACTAACAAGGGTAAGTTGCCCGTAGATATTCTGTCTATAAGACCATCTGTATTTCAGAGCAGGTCACCATGACTAGGAGCTGCGCCTTCCAGCAATAAACAGAGTCCTGGGTATTTAGTGTCTGTATATTAGCAGGTGTCTCACAGTGCAGTCTGTTCTGAAGTATGTTTTCAAGTCCACCAGAGTTCTTTGTAAGGATTTTCAGAGCACTGCATGATGTCAAAGACAAATAAGATAGCACACACACTGAGTCCTTGGGCTAACCACTTTAAATGCTTGGCAGCCAAGTGCTGACTCCCAGTCTACATGCCTAAATGTACACCTGCCTAGACATTCATGTTGGCAACTTTGATTACTGTGGGCAAAGGAGCTAAGAGCAAAGAGAAGGAAAGCTGGCACGGCAGTGTTATCTTGGCAACCGAGGTAATTGGAGATCGAAAATGTGGAAAAGATGGTGGCTGGTTGAGTCATCCCATGGTACATAAGAATCTAAATGTGTTCGACGCCAAGAATCTTAAGCTGTAGCAACATGAATCATATTTCTACAGAGAACATCAACTCGATTACACAAAAACAACATCTGTGGTGACATTGTGAGTTTGTGAAATATATTGTTTGGGGTATATTTAACTTGTAAAGATTACCTGTGTTTGTCTCATAATTTCATGAGAGATTAAAAAATCTGTAGGAGTTCAGATATTTGGAAGTCGAGACTGATAAGAAAGGTCCTGGCAACTTTGCTGTCTCTTAGTCCCAGTGACCAATTTGAATGACTTTCTTTGTCTCTATTTGCAGGCCTGCGTGTATATGTCTACTTCTCATGGGCAGTGTTTGCTAATTATTCCTATGCTACTTTCCTTTCCCTTTCAGATAAAGTTATCTGACTTTGGTTTCTGTGCTCAAGTTTCCAAAGAGGTGCCAAAAAGGAAATCACTGGTGGGTACCCCATACTGGATGGCACCCGAGGTGATCTCCAGGCTACCTTATGGGACAGAGGTAAGTAGGTGACAACCATAGTTTGGGGACAGAGGGCCCTGGGATCGTCTTAGGATCATCAGTGGTCCTGATGGGTAGATATGGGGCTTAAGGGACTTCTGACTCCATAGTTGATCCCTAACATTGGGGATCTGTTGGCTCAGAGTTGGCTGTGACAGAGGGAACACTGGTCCCACTGGGAACATCACCACAAAATTTACACAGTGGCTTTCCCTGAAAGGTAGAAAGGGAATCATGGAGTCACTAAATACTGGTCCCACTCCCAGTGGCAAGCTGTAAAGCAAAATAACTGGAATGGTGACTGCAGTCATCCTGAAATGCTTCAGAAAAGGGAAAGAAGTATAGAAAGTATGACTAGGAAGTAATGTTTGTGTATAGTAGAAATACAATAGAAAATTATGTATGTATATTGTAACATTCGAAATACAGCATAATTAAATGAGGGAGGGTGAGGCAGAGGCTTTCCAGGCAGAGAATAGTGTGAACAGAAGCTTGCAGGCACCATTCAAAGACTGAGCAGAGTGCTTCCATGCACTGTGGTTTAGATGGCGACAGCAAGTGGTTTGTACTGACGAGCGAAGAGCGATGCCTAATTGAACTTGGGCTTGGCTCACCTCTCATTTTCTGTGGCCTTGGATGAGGACCCATCTTGTTTTCTCACTGTGGTCCACAGAGATAAATCCTCAGCAACAGTAGCAAGAGATAGGGTAAGGATGCAGAGAGCAGATAAAGTGCAATGAGGTCATAGCAAGAGCCGGCTAGAGGGGTTGACAGAGCCACCGTCATGTCCTCTCCTCCTCCAGCCTTCCACTTCTTCACTCAGAACTGCTTGCCACCTCTTCCTTCTCTTCACTCCCTGAAAATAGTTTATGAAGCAGGATTTTGTGGGGGTTGATTTAAAATAATAAAAACAAAAGTGGAAAACCCCAAAGTAGGTGGGGAAAGAACTGTAAAACTCAGATTTGTAGAAGTATGAGAGTCCACCATGTGTGACACAAAGTAGATTCTCGAAATTTGTTTTAAACATGCCAAAGAGTTATCTCAATTTCTTATGGTTTACATATAACTTTCTTCTCTGGCTGTGACATCTTTTACCCTACTGATCGCCAAGGTTGATTCAGCTGACCTGATTGGTTAGGCAGGTGTCCCTTTGCTCCCTCACCACTCACCTCACCTCCCGAACCTTGGTTGAAGAGGACCACCTTCCCAGAATAGAGGAGGACTGGTCTTCAGCCAAGGGTATACGAGCAGCTGTGATCCCCTGATAGAACCTCCAAACAAGCTCTTTTTTTTCATAATGTAAAAGTTTGGGGTTTTGTTTTCTTCCTTCCTTCCTTCCTTCCTTCCTTCCTTCCTTCCTTCCTTCCTTCCTTCCTTCTTTCCTTCCTTCCTTCTTTCTTTCTTTCTTTCCTTCTCTCT